ACTCTACAACAGCCATTAGTGACTTCCCTATTGTCTGGTTTTGAAGACCTAAAAGGCCTTTCTCATTCTGTTTGGATCAGTTTTATACTATGTTGTTTTGTATGAAATCTCTGTATGCTAAGACATGGACAACTATTTGGAAGAAAACGAGAGACAATATGATAGTGAAGATCTGTAGTGAAGGTCGTCTAGCTTTGCAATTTATATCTCTTACATTGCTTTCTTATGTCCTATTTGGTTCTATTTTGTTGTGTTTAATTTTACCCCCTTTAAAATAAAAAAAAATTCTCAGCCAAAGGAATTTGTTAGAGAAACAACCTGGTGGAAATAGGAGAAAGGCCATAGGTTAATGAGCAAAGGGCAAATTCTTCACGTAGAGCTTGTGGTCTTGAAAAACCTATAGCTTCATTGAAATTACACACTAGCAAAAAAGTCTGCCCACCACACAAGAGGGAAAACAACAGCAAAAAAAGTGCCTGGAGGTGACTTACAAGAAGTGCTAAACTCTACTCTGAGAATTCCTGAAGGCAGACTTAGCTTCCTGTACATTTGGGTTTTTAATTAAACTGTGTGGCAAACCTCACATGAACAAGTGCATATGAAGTCATCCATAATTTGTTATTCACTGAGCAGTCAGCAGTGATGACAGATTCTCTGCAGGATGTACCCCAGCAACATTTGCAATGTTTATGCCCTCTCCAAAATTCATATTGAACATGTTTTAACTTGTATCTAGATGTGCCTCCAAAGCCTCATATGCTCATAATTGGGGCTTTACAGAGGCGCGGCTGGTTCCAGGATGTGTGAATGTGGATTAAGGGATGATACTAGGATTAAGGGTGTCGATAATGAAAGCCCTATCCTGGATGTGGGTTACACAACTCAGAAGGAGCCTAAATGAAATAAAAGGGACAGATGGAAGGCAGGCTTCTGCTCACTGCTTGTTGCCTTCTGCTCAAAGTGCCATTGATGAGCTGGGCGTGGTAGCTCATGCCTGTAATCCCAGCACTCAGGAAGCTGAGGCAGGAGGATCGTTGTGAGTTTGAGACCAGCCTAGGCTACAAAGTGAGCTCAAGGCCAGCCTGAACTGCATAGTGAGACCCTGTCTCAAAAAGACAAAAAAAAAGTGCCATTGACTATCTCTGCTCTGTGATGCCCCTCTGCCATGGCACCCTGCCTTGGAGCCGCCCGACTATGTATTAAAACCTCTACAAACTGTGAGGCAAAATAAGCCTTTCTTCCTTTAACTTGTTGGTGTCAGGTATTTTGTCTCAGCAATGAAAAAAGTAGCTAATATACATCAGGAACAAATTAAGACAACCCTTAACTACGATCTTGCAAGATTCTCATCAATAAATTCCTGCTCATCTTGAACTGCTGACTCCAAACTAGAAAACATGAATGAGTCAAACTGCAATAAGCAAACACAGAGTCAGTACTCCCAAACCTCAGAAAATTGAAGTATTTGATAATACAAAGAAATAAAACTGGAAGTTAAATAAAACTTTTAAAATTCTATAAAAAAATCAGGCAAGCATATAAATTCAAATGTCTAGAAAAGTAAACTTAATGGAAGATAAAATTCAGTAACTGTTAATATAATAGCTTATACATAGCTGAAAGGAAAAAATTGTAATTTGAGAGAACTAGAGAAATTACCCAGAGAGTACAAAAAGTCAAAGTGTGAAAGAAAATGACATAGAAGACAAAGTTAAAATATATCTCATTGGCATTTTTGAAAGAAAGAAAGAAGCAACAAAGAGAAAATGCTTGTGCCACACATCAAATGCATACTTTCTGGATATCAAAGACAAAGAGATTTTTAAGAAATCATCTAAAAGATTACTTATAAAAGAAGACAGTTATACTGACAACAGCAGCTACAATTTAAGTCGCAAGATAGAAGAGTAATTTTTTGCAAAACATGGGGAGAAATGTGAGTTCCAAATTACATGCCCAGTTAAGGTATTATTTGAAAACATGGGCAAGCCAGATATGGTAAGATATGCCTGAAATCCCAGCTACTCAGGAAGCTGCAGCCAGAGAATTACAACTTCAATGCTAGCCTGGGCAACTCAGAAAGACCCTATCTCAAATTTAAAAAAAAAATTAAAAGGGATAGGTATGTAGTTCAGTAGTAAAGACCACAGGGTTGGATCCCCAGTACCTACCACACACACACACACACACACACACAGAAGGCAAAATAAAAATATTACCTTCCCTAAAAAAAGACCTAGCAATGTAATACAGAAAATGGAGGCACTTAAGAACAAGAAGGAATAGTTAGCAAAGACTCTGACAGGCATCTGAGTAGATTCTTTTTTATCATTCTTTTTTTTTAAATTTTATTTAAGGAGAAAAAGAAAAAAAGCAGAGAAAGGGTACAAGTTATACAGATTTGCAGAAAAATAAACAGGAAATCACTAATTAATGGATTACATATTGTCATCTTAGAAATAATTGTTCAAGTTACAAAATTAAAGCTTGTAAAGTGGACATTCCAACAGTGAGACTGCAAACAGTTCTGTTCAGTGATCCAACAAAACTCAGTGATATCATTATCTATCTTATACACTTAAATATATATGCAGTTATATCGTTTAGAGCACTTTCTTTTCCTCTCTTTTGTACAATGACAATTACACATTTTGGGTTTTGTTGCCCCCACAGTTCTTATTACTTTTTTGGAAGAGAGTAGAACCAAATGTGACATAACAGAACAGAGTCAGTCAAATCAAAAGGGTGGGCATAATAGATAATGTAAAAGCATAATACAAGGTGATCAACAATGGTTACCATAATGCCTCCCGCTATCTCTAATAGAATCTAAAGCTTTGGATAAAAAACAGCAGTAATTTCTACAATGGGAAATAAAAACCAGAGAACTATGAGACCACAATATAGAGTTACATCTGTCTATGGACTTCAAATCGTTCAGGACAAGGGAAGGAATATTGATTTACCTTGAACTTTAAATTATATCCATTTTAAATTTGTACAGGTTTAAAAAAGAAGTATAATATGTAGCTTCCTAATTTGGATGAAATGATTTAAGAAAAAATGTGTCTTTTTTTAATTTGGGGGAGTGATTATTTTGTTTGTTGTTTTAGTTGCTTTTCTCATCACTGAGACAAAATACCTGACACCTGCAAGTTAAAGGAAGAAAGGATTCTTTTGGCTCACAGTTTGTAGAGGTTTTACTCCTTAGCAGACTCCAAGGCAGGGTAGCATGGCAGAGGGGCATCACAGAGGAGAAACAGTTCATAGCATGGCAGGCAAGAAGGCAGAAAGCAATCAGCAACAAGCAGCAAAAGAAGCAGTGAAGTAAGCCTCCCTCCCAAAAAAATTTTTGGATGGTAGGTACCATCCACACCCAGGGTGGACCTTCCCACTATCCACAGGGGGACTAATTTAGTACCATACATCCTTAATCCCAAGATAACACGCCCTAGATACAACCAACTCTGCAAAGCCCCACCTATGAGCACATGAGGTTTTGGAGGGCAATGTATTTTTTTGTAAGAGTAGGAAATTTTGCTGAGGAAGAGACTGCTCTTGAGAGAGATAGGAGGAGACCTGAAAAGTGGGTTGCCACCTGGGCGTACACCTAGATACAAGCCATAACATTTCTTTAACAGTGCTGGAATAAAACAGCGTTTTAAATATGCTAGACAGGGCCCCCTCCATTGAGATACATCCCCAACCCTAAGAAACATTTATACAAAAAGCTAATAAACTGATGAAAAATCCTTTGGCCACCACCACTTGTAAGCAATAATCCTTTCCTTCTCCCACTTTGTAATGTATGATAATATACTAAAGTATTTAGGACTTTCTACATAGAATGATTTAATGTCCTCATTGTCACATTCTCCTCAAAGTAAAGGTCATATTTCTGCTCTAGTCCTGCTACTTCACCCCCCTCCAGAAGATACCACCTTTTCTATGCCCAGGTGTAAGCTAAAGCCAGAAGAGAAACATGTGTGTCCACCACTTGCTCAGGAGCAGCTCTTCTCCATTAAGAGAGCAGTAAGCAGGCTGGCCAGTAGATTTTCCAAGAATCAGTACCTTTTTGGGGAAGAATTTGGGGTTTTTTTAACCCTGTTATTAAAAGAATGCACTTGAAAAGTAAAAAAGAAAATAAAAATCCTACCTATTAATCCTCTTATCCCCCTGTTAACCACTATGATCATGTTTGTTTATTCCTATGGGCTTTTTTGTAAGTATAAAATTACAGTGTAAATGCTGTAGAAATCCTATGCCTTTCAGTCACTTTTTTATTTGAATGTTATTTAAGAGCATAATTTTTAGTGCATTGTTTTGGTGCTCTTAACACTTTTGTTTGGTTGGGTTTTGTGGTTTTTGTGTTGTTTCTTTTTTATCCTAAGTGCTTCTCCACTCGCTCGCTACACCGTTCCCCCAAACCTCACAGAATCTGCCTCTAGCAGAACTGGTACCATGAAATGGGTCCTGAAACATTTCCTGGGAAAGTGTGCATTTTAAAGGGCTATATCAATTTTTTAATACAGATAAATGATTTTGGTCCTGATCCTGAACAGTCCTTACTCCCAGGGCCCCATCTTTACTTTGATGTCACAAAGGCTTCTTCATTCTTTCTGGCAGAAACAATCTATGGCCTTCAAGAGGTAGTTTTCTCCTTGCCAGAGGACAGCTTGCATGGCTAGCATTTCCATGATTGGTGTACAGCTCTAGCAATGAGACCAAAGTCATATGCACCCGGCCCTTCTGGCAGCCGTGTACTGCACAAAACGTATTCATTGGTCACATGTGTCTCCCTGGCCCTGAAAGGCCCAGAAATGTCTGGACAAGTGAGCAGCTGGTGAGCAGCTTAGCAGACACCCACTAGAGGGCACATCCTGCTGCTGCTGCTGCTGCTGCTGCAGGTCACAGTTGTCCTATCTGTGCCGAGGTCATCCAGGCTTTACATGTCCCGTTAGAGCCATCATCCATTCCACTCACCTGTGTTTCTTTGACAGGTTTCTGTCCTGCGGGCCCTGGCAGGCAAGAACATATCTCACATAAAAATTGGCTTCATTCTGTATGGGTACCTGAAGCTGTTGCCCATGTTCCTCGTGGTGATGCCAGGAATGATCAGCCGCACTTTTTACCCAGGTAAACTTCTGATTCTAATGGGTTCACTCCATTCCTCTTTCAGAGAAATACAGTGTATTTGGGGTTATCAGGTTTCCCATAGTATAATGGTCATTGGGGTGCCCCCAGAATGCTTCTTAGCAGACGTCTAGCACAAACAAATGATGCATACAACAAATCGAAAGTACTGTACCAGGGTTATAAGTTCAGACAGGAAAAAGCCAGATCAGTGCCTTCTCTCATATGTCAAAGCTTCCTTCTATCAGGGCTCAGCCATGACTTTAGGACAGAGTCTGCAGAAGACTGAGCTGTTCCTATTATATCACCAGTATCATACTAGGCATGCCCTGGGTACCAAGCACTGCAAGAAGATATAACAGATATTGTTGCTGCTTCTCACAGCCTCAGGCACATTGGAGGGAGCTCCATGCACCCACCAAAGTGAGCTTGATACAGAGTAAGGCCCACATTAAATACTATCAAAGCATTTGTGTTTTCCCTAATGATTGTGTTTCCCCTTATCATAATTCCATGACTGTAGCTCACTGCCATTTCAACTAGCTAGTTTTACTACCTCATTCTTAATAGATTGTTCTGTCTTTCAGGGTAACAAGTCTGTTTATTCAATATATTTAATGGAACACTTTACTCTGACAGGTGTAGCCACAGGAGCAAAGTAGGTGCTTCTGGGGGAGTCTCTTGCTATAGTGCTTTTAACACAGGAAAATAAAATACAGAATGCTTTTCAGTGCTAAGAAACATATGCAATGAATATCTCTAACACTAATCCCTCCTCCAATTTGCTCCTGAGCTCCTGAGGCATGCCTCCATTTCTTCCCTAGTTTTAACTGAGACTAGTTTCAACATTCCCCTATGTACTGTTCAGCTGTTAAGCAATGCTTTGTCAGGTCTCCTGGCTGGTAGTTCTCTGTACGTTGGAAAATATACCCCTCTACCAGGAATTAGAGTCTCAACTTACAACTCTGAATTCATGACTTTATCATATCTAAGGGAGAGTAAGGTTATGAGTTGTTCACATGTTATTATGGAGCAAATAATCCTCTGGCTTTCCTAACACCTAGCCAGAATCGTTGGAAGGCTTACTGGGGCCTGTGACCTGCTTTGGGTGACCCAGTGAGTTGGTGGAAGGACCAATTCATTCAACTGCTAGAAGCCCAAGTCCTAACCCTTTCCTCCAGCTCCAGCTCCCAAGAATGGGTGAATCATAAATAGACGCAGCCACCAGTGGACTTAAAATCTAACATTTACATGTGAATATATAATTCTTAATTTACTTCCCTTATCCCGGGTTCATATGTTAGAGCTTTAAGGCCAGTGTGTTTATGTGACTGTTACTTCTTTTTAAAGACCAAGTGGCATGTGTTGTACCTTCAGAATGTGAAAAGCACTGCGGCGCCAAACACAGTTGTAGCCCCGTCGCCTATCCAAGGCTGGTGATATCACTACTACCTACTGGTAAGAAATAAGCCCTGCTGCTGAGGGCCATGGCATCCCCATTGGAGCCTGGACCCTAGGGATATAAGTTACCAGTGAGGAGTGGGACTCTGGGGGGCAACTTCCTTACCAGTTAGTCCATCATTCTAAATGGAAATACAGGTTGCCAGGCACAAGGCACATTTGCACCATGCAGGGCAGTCTTGCCTGCCCTGACAAAAGGATCAAGTCCTTCTCTCTCTCTCTCTCTCTCTCTCTCTCTCTCTCTCTCTCTCTCTCTCTCTCTCTCTCTTTCTGTCTCTCCTAGTAGAGCATATCTTCTTGGAGGCACAATCTGCACACATCTTCTACATTATTTATGTCACCTGATGAGCTGATTCTCTTGCTCATTCATTCACAAAATAGGGTCTACACTGTGTAAGGCATTGTTCTAAGCCACAAAAACACAAAGATGAGTGAAACTAGTCCTTCACTCAAAGAGCTCACCATACAGTGGGATAGGCAAGGAGATAACCAATTACTGAGGGTCAAGTGAGCTTTTGAGATGATAATGACTTCACATATTTATCACATTTTTCTTCCCAAATCCTACTGAAATGGCAGACTTTAAAAAAGACTGTGTTAGTTCTGGAGAAGAATAGGTTAGAAAAGTTGAGACACTTCCATAAAATACACTATAGATGGAATCAGATTGAGTGAAAACTAACCATACCACAGTTCAGAAAGTGAGTTATCTGGGCTCCCCACCTACCCCTCCAGAAATTCCACAGCTTCAAACAGCCAAAGATGCAAACAAAAGTTGGCAGTTGAAGGAAGGGAAGTCCGAGGACCTTAGTCTATGTCTGCCTGCTCCTACTGCAACACTAAGGCACTGCCACAGTAGGCTTCAGGTTTGGACTCTGGTTATCCTCACTCAGACTGTCCCAAGGGCACACAGAAATCTTCGAACAGGGCAGTTAACATCCTCCCACATAGCAGGCCAAGTAGCAATACCAGCTTATTGTTTATAGCTAGCATCTGTTGAGTCCTTGCTCTATAATGGGCACTGTGCCAATCCATCTACTTAAATGTATCTTAATATTAACAGTAATTGAATGGGGAAGGTCCTGTATGCCCACTCTACAGATGAGGGCACAGAGGCACTGGGAAGCACATCACTTTCGTGTGGTCTGAACTTCCTCTGAAGCTCTCACTCCTTACACGTAAAAGCAGGGAGCCAGTGGCATCCATCTCACAGGACTGTACTTAAGATGATACAGGCTGATGTCTGAAGAGATCTTCTGGTACAGACTAACCACACAGGAGATACTAGCTCCTATTATTATATGAAAACACAGCAGGAAACTGTTAAGTCTTGTTACAAAGCAAGAAAAGATGTAACGCAATAATCTATCTTGGGCAGAATTCTACACCAAGTAAAATTGAATGTTTTGTAGGAGGAAATTTAGTAGTTGGAAAAGTTCCTCCGGAGACCTGTGGCATCTGGCATGGTCAAAGATGTGGAAGTCCCCACACATATTCTTTCTCCTCCAGGCCTACAGGGCTTGATGCTGGCTGCAGTCTGTGCCACCATCATCTCCTCCCTGACTTCTGCTTTCAACAGTATCAGTGCCCTGTTCACAATGAACATATATACCTGGTTGCGGCCTAGGGCCTCTGAAAATGAGCTCATGATAACAGCAAGGTAAAGTATTCCTCTAATCACATTAGTTAGCACTGTCAGCGACATCAGTTAATACTCTCACCCCAGTGAGAGGCCATCACGTTGACTTATTTTGTTTATATAGTCTTATTGGTTTGGGAGGATTTTGTGTCTTTGGGTTTTTATTACTGCAATTTTGCAATGAAGATGTATTGCTTTGATCGTCACAGAGAAACTGGTTTCCACTTGTTAAAAAAAAAAGAAAGTAATAATCACAATGGTATAAATGAGCACAGCTTATCATACTCCCCCACCACCAAATAGTTCTTTGGGGGAAATTTACATAAACTATCTCGTCTCATTTAGTCCTCATGACAACTGTTAAATGTAAGTTTTACAGTTGGCATTCTCATTTCACAAACAGAAAAATAGTAGCTCAGAGGCTGAAACTCAGACTTGTCTATTTTGAGGCCATGAAATTAGCTGTGATGCTGCATAATGTCTGGTACGTCCCTGTCTCTGAAGGGCTTGTTCTGTAAGGTTTCACATTAGCCACCCTTGAGCCATATCCATCCTACGCACCTTTAATGTGAACTACGTTTTGGCTCAAAAATAGTTTCCTTTTTCAGTACTGGGAATTGAACCCAGGGCCTCCTCCACACACACCCCAACCAAGGGCTTTTTTTGAGACAGTGTCTCTTTAAGTTGCCCAGCTGGGCCTGAATCTGTGATCTTCATGCCCAGCCTCCCAAGATGCTGAGATTCCAGGTTGGCACACCCTGCTCACTTTAAAACACTGCCTTTATCTTGCATGAAGGTGCATGTCTGCTGTCTACTTTATCTGTCTCATCCTTGCCGGTGTTTGAATTTGCCTTTATGTATTACCATTCCATGGTTGAAAATACATTTTTGGGGCAGGGAATCTAACTCAGCAGCACAAGTGCCTTCCTGGCAAGTACAAGGTCCTGAGTTCAATTCCTAGTACCAAAAAAATGCATTTTTCTGAAAAATATTAAGAAACTGATTTCAGTTTTATTAAGTTGTTAGAGAATATAGGGGGAAAAAAGTAAACATACTCATTTTAGGGAGCTCAAGCCATTGATGCCAAAATACAACAAATATAGCACAGAAAAATAATGAAATTAAAGACTAACCTGACTTCTAAATATTAATACAAAAAAATAAACAAAATATTAGGTGCAAATCCAACAATACATTAAAAGAATGATATAATGTATCATTACCAACTGTGCTTTCTCCTTAAAAATTAGGACTCTTCAGTATTATAAAATGTACTAATTATAACTCACCATAATAATAGATCAAAAAAGAAAAATTATATGTACATACTTACAGGTAATGAAAAGATATTTGGCGTAAGATGTGCTTTTCAATGTGATAAAGCATATCTGTATCATGCTAAAAAGTCTATATGATACTTAATGAAGAAACTAGAGAGGTACAAGGCAAAAGAATGTCCTCTCTATGACAGATAGATGATTAGAAAGATAGACAGATAGATAGATAATTAGACCCAAGGGTGATGTTAGTAGACTAGGACTTTAAAATATCTATGATTAATACAGACAGTAAAATAGAGATATAAAATAGATTAAAATATTGAGAATTTCACCAGAGGATTAAAATTTTTTAAAAGGATTGAAATTTTTTTCTAGAATTGAAAAATAAATATGTGAAATTAAGACCTCAGTGGATGGATTAACACTGATTTGGATACAGAAAAGACACAATTACTGAAAACCAGACTGAAATAAACAAAACAAGTAGATACACATAAAGAGCAATCAAAGTTATAATATGTGTAAATGAAACTAGAGATAGAAGGGAACAAGTTGAATAGAAATAGTATTGAAAAAATAATAACCAAGATCTTTCAACAGGCTAGAGTCAAGAAATCCCTATGAATTAAAGCAGGATGAGTGCAAAGGAACCCATATTTAGACTACATTTTAGTGAAAATGCTTAAAGTTAAAGGTAATGAGAAAATATTTAAAGCGTCCAGAGGAAAATAAATCATATTGCCTTTAAGAAAATGACATGGACTGGTAGAATCTTCAACATAAACTATGGAAGTCAGAAAACAACATCTTCAAATGGTAGAGGAAACTAGAATTCAATATGCATCAAAAATGTTCTCTAAAATGAAGATGAAATAGATATGTTATTGGCAAGTACAAGGCTTGAAAGAATACACTACATTAGACTTGCATTTTAAGAAACACTAAAGGAAGTTCTTCAGGCTGAAGGAAAATAACCCAGACGGAACTGAACTTTAGAGAAGAATGTCAAGCATGAGAAAGAGTCGATATGTGTACATATAAGTGAATACTGACTGTTTAAAACATCAACAAGAAAAAATGTCTGTGGATTTATAACACACAGAAGTAAAATATATGACAGTAAGAGCAGAGAAAACGAGACTCTAAATCAAACTATTAAATATTCTGAGCTTCTAGAATTATTGGAGATGTGACAAAAGTAAAACTTGTCCCGGAATATATAAAACATGTACTTAATCCCTAAACTGCAGAATGTTTAAGTAATGTTAGTAGGAGGAAAATACAAAATAACTAATAAAATATATGAGTAGCCCAAGAGAAATCTAAAAAGGAATGAAAAGAATACAAAATGGGTACGTTAAATAGTTTACAACTACTGTGATAGGATGGCACATATCCAGGCATATCAGTAATTTCAGGAAATATAAGTGGACTAAACACCAGCGGGCTGAGATGGAAAAATCACATTAGGGATCAGCCTGGGCAACACAGTGAGACCTCATATAAAAATGTAAATAAGTAAGTAACAGGCCTTTAGGAGCTGATTAGGAATTGTGGGCTGCTGCCCCTGTGATGGGATTAAACAGCATTATGCTGCCTTATTCTTCTACCATGTGATGGCAATATCCTCTCATTTCTTCAGGTTTCTAGTCTTCTGTGTGGAGATCTTGCATGTCTTTCATTAGGCTTATTCCTAAAAAGCTTGTTGTTTTGATGTTACTTTTAACAGAACTGTTTATAATGCCAATTCTCAATCATTTGCTATTAACACAAAGAAATAGTTTAAGTTGACATTATATCTTGTGAACCTGACTAAATTCACCTACCTGCTTCTAGTACATATTTTGTAAATTCCTTGAGATTTTCTGTGTAAATCTTCATGAATTAAATATAGGCTTCTTGTTGGTTTTCATTTTTGTTTTCTTACTCTACCGCTCTGTATATAATTCTGGTTCAGCATTGAATACAAGTGGTAAAAGTGGACTCTTGCATCATTTCCAGTCTTAGGGATAAAGGGTTCAATCTTTCACATAAAATATGATGGTAGCTGTAGGGTTTTTATGCTCTTTACCATGTGGAAGAAATTCTTCTCTGTTCTTAGGGCACTTCAGAGCAACAAGAGCTAGATTAAAATTCCAGACACATGCCATTATTAGGAGATGGAGAAACCTGTATCACTTGCATCAGCCATGTGGAGTTAAAGTGCCAACCTGAGAGCTCTCAAACATGCACAAATTTCCCCCACAAAACATCTATTTAATTCCACTGTTATGCATTGTAGGAGACCAGAGGGCTAAATTAAAATCTTCAGGAAAGTGGAGTTAAATTTTGTAGAGTTGAATTTCGTCCAGTGCTTTTCTGCAGCTATTAAAATTATCGTGGGGTTTTTCTCTTTTATTATGTTAATGCAGAGAATTATAATTATCAGGTTTTGAGTGTTAAACCAACCTTGCAAACATAGGGTAAACCATGTTTGGTCATTGTCTTGGTTACTTTTCTCTCATTGCTGGGACAAAATACCTGACACCCAAAATTAAGGAAGGAAAGATTTATTTAGCTCACAGTCTGTGGAGGTTTCAGTCCATAATCAGCTGACTCCAAGGCAAGGTGGTGTGGCACAGGGGCAGCATTCAAGGTGGCATAAGACAGCAAAAGTAGCAGGAGCAAAAAGGGGGAGAACAAGCCTCTTTTTCTCCCTTATATAGTAAGCAGGTTTAGGGTGCTTAGGGTGGGTGTAGCACTCACACCATCTCTGTGCCCTCCTCTTGCCCAAGCTTAAGATGTTTACAAAGTGAGGACCCTGGCCTCCTCCTGAGTTCTTTGGTTAAACTTCTCAACTTCTCAACTTAACACAATGTAGCAACCACTACAGTCATATTTCATTATTTTTAAGCATCACTTGGGTGTGATCTGCTAATATTTTGTAAAGGATTCTTCTATCTACGCTTATGAAGGATATTGGTCTATGATTTTCTTGTGTCTTAGATATAATTTGATTTGGTAGTTATTCTGCCCTCATAAAATGATTTAGAAACTAATTTTTCTGTTTTCTAAAAGAGTTTGTATGTAATTTGAATTTTATTTTTGTATTAAATATTTAACATAGCTTACTAGTAAAACTAGATGTGGATTTTTCTTTATGGGAATACTTTTCATTATTAAATGAGTTCCTAATAGATGCATAGCTATTAAGACTTTCTTTGCCCAGCAGTTTTGTTATGTTGTATTTTCCAAAGTACTTGTCCATTGCATCTGAGTTGTTACTTACTGCCAGTTGTTTGTAGCTTTTCCTTACTGTCTTTTAATCTGTAGGACCTCTAACAATTACTCCTCTTTCATTCTTGAAATTAGTAGTTTGTGAGTTTGGCTTGGTTTTGCCCTATTGCCCAAATGTGCCTAAGACTTATCAATTTCCAAAGAACTAATATTTGGATTTGTTGATTCCTGTGTTTTGTGTTTGTTTGTTTTGGTTTTTGGTTTTTGCTTATTTCTATACTGTGGTGGGATTGAACTCTCATGCTCAATCTCTGAGCTACATTCCACCCTTTCCTTGCCTCTTTCCTTCATTCTTCCCTCTTTCTTCCTGCCTGCCTGATTTATTTACTTTATTACTATTATTATTATTATAAGACAGAGTCTTGCTAAATTTCCCAGATTGACCTTGAAATTGCAATCCTCTTGCCTAAGCCTGTTGAGTAGCTGAGATTATAGACCTATGCCACCATGCCCAGTTTAGTTTCTATTCTTTATTATTTCCTTTTTCCTAATGACTTTGAATTTAACTTAATCTTCTTTCTCTATTTTAAAGGGAATAAAACAGAACAATAAAACAAAACAAAACAGTGATAAGACAGTAAGAAGTCCACAACAGTTACTGTACTGCATATTGTTGACCTTTAAATAGTTACTCAGACGACTGGCAGTGGGCTTGCAAAATCAATCAAACAAGCATCAGGTTGTTTCTTTACTTTAGTTGTTATCTTCTCAGCCTGTGTTCCTCTGAATCAGCCAGTTGCTTGGTGGTGGAGAGAAGGATGTTTCAGCCGCCACACCAGCTAGCTCAGGAGGGGTGGGAGTGGCACATGACCTCCTTTGGTTCTCTCTGGCTGGCAGTGCCACCACTGGTGCACAGGGGGCTGCATAGCTTCATTTCTGGTTCTCCCCAGCTGGCATGGCTGATGCTGGTACACCTTTTCTAACTTCTTAAAATAGAAATTTAGATCACTGGTTTAAATTGATAATTTTTTACTATACTTTTTTTATTATAACCACTTAGATATCTCCCTCGAAAACCTGCTTTAGCTGAAACTCACCAATTTTGATATGTTGTGTTTTTATTTTCATTCAATTCAAAATATTTTCTGATTTTCTCATGAGTTTTTTTTCTTTCATTTATGAATTATTTAGAAGTGTGCTATTCAATTTCCAAGTGTCTGGAAATTTCCTAAATATCTTACTGCTATTGATTTCTAATTTACGCCCACAGTGACCCAATAAACCTGTGGGATTTCGATCTTTTGAAATACATTACTAGTTTGTATTTTTGCTGAATTTTGTCTAGTTCATCTAGTTATATACACACATGCACACAAACACTCAGTATCTTCTATACTGAGAAAAGTGTATTAAAATCTTCAGTAGATCGACGTCGTGGCATACACATGTAATCCCAGCATTCTAGGAGGTTGAGGCAGCATCTCACAATACAAAACAGAAAACAGAGACAAAGTCTCTGCCTCAAAAAAATTTAAAGGAATGGGGCCCAAGTATAAGCTTAGTATGAAGGCCCTGCACCAGTACCAAAAAAAATACAAACCCACTTTAGCTATGACTGTGAGTTGCCTGTTACACATTCCCCTTCATATATTTTAAAGTTTTGATATTAAGAACTTACACATTTATACTTACTATGGCCTCCTAAGGCCTTTTATCTCTGCTAACAACCCTTGTCTTGAGGTTTACTTGATTATTACATAGCTAGCTTCACCTGTAGATAAGCTTAAAGTTTCTTATAGAGCATGTAGAGCTGATCTTGATTTTTTTATCTAATCTGGAAATTGCTACCTTTTTAGTATTTAATCTATTTGTAATTAATGTCATCATTAATATGACTAGAAATAGTTTTAAATCCATTTTAATTCTTCTTGGCTGCTCTGGGGATTACAGTATGCATTCTTAACCTATCACAGTCTACTTAGTGTTAATATTATACCACTCTATGTAATTATCTTGCATCAGTATAAACTATTTTTCTTTCATATTATCATTATTTTTACGTATCTTATATCTATAAAAACCTTATAATACGTGATAGTGATTTTTTTGCTCTAAGCAGTCAGTTGCATTTTAAATAATTGAAGAAAAATACACCATGTTCTATATTTAAAATTTTAGCTTCAAGTTTCTATCTGTATTTCTTTGACCCTAAAAAACTGTCTTCAGCCTCCTTTATTATGCAGGTCTGTTGGTAACAGACTCTCAGTTGTTTTTATCGGAAAATATTTTCTGATATATTTTTTACAGATATTTCACTGAGTATAGGTTCTCTCACCACATAAAGATTCTGTTAATTCTTCTCCTGCTTCCTGTTCATAGTGAGGTAATGGGACATAATTTTTATACCGTTTCTCTTTTCCCCCATTATTTTCAAAATTTAATCCTTTGATTTTTCAAGTTTCATTGGGCTGTATAAGTGCGTGTATGTGTATGTGTATGTCTGGCTTATATTTTTCTGAGCTCCTTTTTAAGGTCTTTATAATTTCCAGCAACGAACTCCCCTCTGTTCATTCATAACTATCATTCACTTCAGTCCTTTAATAATAGCTATAATAATTGCTTTGCTATTTTTAATATGTGAGCCAATTTGGAGTCAGTTTCTATTGATTTTTTTTTTCTTTTCTTTTTCAGTATTGAGAATTGAACACAGGGCCTTCCTGCTGAGCTACAATCCCCAGCCAACCCTCTACCCACCCCTTCAAACAGGTTCTTACTAAGTCACTAAGTTGCTGAGGCTGGATTTAAATTTGTGATCCTCCTACCTCAGCCTACCAGAATGCTGGTACTATAGGCATGGGCTACCAAGGCTGGTAAATTGCTTTTTTTTTTTTCTTGTCTATGGCTCCATATTCTTTTTCCTCACAGGCCTAGTAAATTTAATGTATATTAAATATTTTGGGCAATAATTGTAGGGAGTTTGAAGAGTACTGGCTTTTGTCCTAATATTCAGGTAAGTTACTAGCTAATAATCTTAAATTTCTAAAGGTTAATTATTTTATGTATTGTCAGGGTGGGTTGTTTTGTGCTGTTAGTCTTAGCACAAATTCTTAGCCTTGAGATATATACTATTCCAAACTGTCTGTGATTTCGACTAACAGCCTGAGGTTACAGAGTCCTTATGACTTCATAGGATTCCAAGTTAATTTCTGTCTCCCATGCTGTAAGTAGCAACTGAAATCTTTGCTTGGCTTGTTCTGCCTTCTAACAGTTGCTTATTGGTAGACTCTAAACATTCTCCTACACATACATAATTCAGGGATAAGCCAAGGACTCAAGGGACATTGATGGGCAGATTGGGACTCCCTTGCTTTGTGAAGCTCTCTTTTCTAAAATTTTTCTCCCAAATTTTCAAGCACTCTGAATCCCCAAGGCACTCGTATCTAGCACTTGAACTCAGTGAGTATGCTTGCCAGCCCACACTGTGAAGACAAAGGTGTCCCCGGAGAAAAATGCTGTGTAACTGTCTCACCTAGCACAGTTCCTTTCTTGCAATCACCTCCAATTTCTGCCTTGTTTTGGGGGCTCTGCAGTGTCTTCAGGTTATTTTTATATGTGACTAAGAGTTCATCATTATCGCCTGTAGGAAGGTTGGTTCGGTGTTGGCCATTTACTCTATCGTCGCTGGAGTCAAATTCACTTCTTTGACTCCTCTTTTACTATCATTGAGGAAGTCCTTTCTAGCTTATACTAATTGTCTCAAAAATTATAATTGTAAGCCCTTAGTATTTATTCATCTTTGAATTGACTCTTCACGTGGTATAATTTTACAGAGATCTACATTTTAAATCATTCATTTAGCTGAGTTTGATATATGCTTATAATCTCAGTGCTCTGAGACACTGAGCAAAGAGGACCAAATATTTGATCCCAGCCTGAGAAACTTAGCAACTTGGTGAAATTCTCTCAAAACAAAAAAAACAAAAGAAACTTTGAATATAGGTCAGCACCAAGGGCCAGGGTTCAATTCCCAGTATGTAGTAGTAATAGTCGTAATAACAATAATAATAATAATAAAGTCATTTACTTAGAAAAAATAATGAACATTTATATCCTCTATCAATTTCTTTTTGGAGGTTTCAGGGGGAAAGCTTTCAATCTTACACTATTTAGTATAATACTGGTTTGGGGCTTTTCATAAATGGCCTTGATCATGTTGAGGTAGTTTCCTTCCACTCCCTGCATTGCTTTTTTCGTTTTTCATTGTGAAAAAGTGTTTGATTTTGTTAAATGCTTTGTTGCATCAGTTAAGATATAACTGGGGTTTGTTTTTTCTGCTTCAATGTCTAATTTTGTGTGTTCCGTTGATTGATTTTTTTCTAATGTTAGCCACTTTTGCAACCTGGAATGAATCATATTTATTAATGTTACATAAAGTGTCAGAACTTGTTGAAATCTTTAAAATCATGAGCCCTAGTATTAGTACTTGAAATTTTTTAAAAATGTGTTACTCCTCAAGAAACTAATATTTGCCATGTATTATATATATTTAAGGCATATTGCCCTTCTCAACTTGGTCATACTCTCCAAAGATGATTAAAAAAAATACATGTTATAGTAATAAGCAGACACTTGGTTATTTATTCAGAAGTTAAAGGGTTTTTAGCCCTGTGACATCCATTTGCTTATGGACAGGACTGTCTCCTTTGCCCCCATAATTATCAATGGGCAGCTGGATTTAAAATGAGAAATAGGCCCCATGGTGTAGTTCTCTAGCACAGCACTTGCCTAGTGTGGTAATGTCCTGGGATTTATTCCTGGCACTGCAAAACAAGCAAACTAAGAAATACTTGCATTAACAGTTTATAGTTTTTAGCTATTTTACTGCCAGGGAGAAATCTCATCAAGTTTTCACTGCTTTTGGTGTAATTTACAGGTTTTTTATTATAAGCTTACTTGCTACCGCCATTATTTGGATCCCTATTACAGAAACAGCTTACAGTGAAAAATTATTTGAATACATGCTGATGACAAGGAGTTGCCTGACACCACCCATCACTGCTCTCTTCATACTGGCTGTGTTTTCCAAGAGAGTCAATGAGGAGGTAGGTGTTGGGCATGGAAATGGGTTGCCTCCATACTGCAGAGATCTTTATAAGAGTTGCCCTGTGAGGTTTCTTTTGTACTAACGAATTCATAGCATGACATCTTTTTTTTTTTTTTTTCGATACTAGGGATCAAACTCATGACCTCACGCTTGTCAGGCAGGTGCTTATACCACTAAGCCAAATCCCTGGCCCTCCATGACATTTTTGATTTTTGAGATATCATGTCTTCCTGGGAAGATTTGGTTCTTAGGAGAAAAGGTAGATCTCTCATTTGCTTTCCTTTTTTTATAATGAAATCCATTTTCAGCCATGCCACGCAAGCCTGATCACCTTACATGTCTGGAGGTGGTGATGAGAAACTGTGAATGATTCTCCCTCCCACATATTTAGCTGTAGGAAAATATTCTTCTGTTGCCTCTGTGCGTGAATGCGTCATCCTCAGAAATCCCACACTCACCAGGGGATAGAGTGGTGGGTTTCTTGCATGTTCTTTGTATTACCTGTATAATTATTGGAACCATTTCTTTGGGCCATACTTAAGACCAAATAAAGATCCCCATGAATGGTTTGGTCATTTTGTCAATAACACTTTGAAAGTATAGTTTGCCCAAACATATTCTCTTTTATGATTTTTTTAAATTTTTGAGTCATATCTTAAACTTTCTTATTTCCTGGCACTGAAGAAATGGGCCTTGCACAAATTCCTAAGCAGAGCATTTGAGGACCCTTCTGATCTGGCCCCGCCTACTGCTCAGGCCTTGTCCTCCATGCACCCGTGGGTCTATCCCACCCACTCCAAACAACATGCAGCGCTGGCTACTGAACTGCCCTCTGCATCTTCTGGCCTTCCTTCATTTGCATGAACTATTTGCTTTCCCAGGAAAATCTATTTCTAATGAATACTTGGTCTCACGTTCATCTCAGGTATTCAGTCCTCTAGACCACCAGCCAATACTTCCTGTTCCAACCAGCTCACCAGTGCTCAACTATTAGCAAGAATATTGGGAGGGGGCAGTCGCTTTGGGCCCTAGAGCTCCTTCTGTTTGCTCTCGTGGGAAGGGCCTGAGTAAGAAAAGAGGCAGGTAGTCAGGGTGATGAGTGTATTACCGAAGAGAAATGAGAGGATCTGACTGGAGCTGGCTTGCTACCCCAGATCCTAAGTTTCAGGCATGTTTTATGTTCCCTCAACTTAATGCACTTTTACAGGCCCTCTCTCTTGTCATGTTTTAGATGCCGTGCTCTGGCTTCTGTCCCTTTGCTTCAGGAATTGGTTCTTGTGGAACCTCCACCTGACTTTTGGTTTAGATCTTTCCCCACAGTACTCACCCACATTCAGTATCTTAGAATCTCAGCTTTTCTTTCCCTTTCTCCCTTCTCCTCCCACCCAATCTCTGTCTCTGTCTCTGTCTCTGTCTCTCTCTCTCTCTCTCTCTCTCTCTCTCTCTCTCTCTCTCTCTCTCCACATCTATTCAGTTCTGATTCAGGCTGCAGATGCAGCCTCCAATCAAAAACTAAGGCCTTACTTTCATGGGGTACACAGGCTATTTGAAGGAGTCAGATAATGCCCAATGGGCAAATAACAATTTCAAATAGTGACAAAATGCTATCTAAGACTTAAAAAGATGATGGAGCTGACAGGGTAGGCTAGAAGTGAGGGGTAATGGGGAACCAACAAGGACATTAGGTAAGGTAGTGGAAGATCTCTCTTAAGCAAGTGACCTTGAATCTGAAATCCAAAGAAAAAACCAAAAATGGTAAACATACAGGAGACACCCAAGCAGAGAGAAGAGCAAGTGCAAAACCCCAAGACAAGAGCAAAACAGGCAGGAAGGTTTTGATGGCTGCAGTGGAATGACCAAGGGGGAAGTAGCAGAGCCCGGTGAGGTCAACTGTGGTACGCCATTGAAGTCTTACTTTCTTTGTGGTTGTTGAGAAGCCAGTGAAGACTCTAAGCAGTAGTATGACATTTTTTAGTGTAATCTCTGAGAGACCATTCTGGCTTTTATAAGACCACTTGTAAGAAGACAAAGTGAGGAGCCCACTTTTGTGAGAAGAGATGGTACAGGAGGGTTCATGTCGAAGCCTAGCAATGATGGCAAGGAGTTACATTCGGGGTGTATTTTGGAAGTAAAGCCAACAGTGTGTGCTGAGGGACTGGTGGTAGGGCAGGATGGAAAGAAAAGAGCAAGAGATGGCTCCTGGGGCTTAACCTGGCAACCAGAGAGGTGCCACTTAGAGAAATGGCAATAGCAGCACTCTTATTGGGCACCTTTAAATTGAGATGCCTACTCATGGTATCACAGTAAAGTGTAAACTTTACTAAAGTTCTCTGATTGACCTAAGAGAGAGTGCCAGTGGATCTGTTGTGTCCTCACTCACCTTATCTCTGCAAGACATTGTTAAAACTAGTTTAACTTTAGAACCTGGCAAGTCCAGAAAATGATAATAAAGCTAGTTTATGTCATTACCCCTCTTCCTCCCAAATGACTTTTGGGTTCCTTCTTTGGCAGGGTGCCTTCTGGGGGCTGTCTTTTGGGATTATGATTGGCTTCTGTCGAATGCTGCCCGAACTTATCTACGGACACAGGACCTGTGAGGACCAAAAGTGTCCTCAGCCCTTTTGCAGCATACGCTACCTCTATTTTAGCATGCCCCTCCTCGTGGTCAGTCTTATCAGCATGCTGGTGATCTCCTTCTTCAGACACCCAATTCCAGAAATACATGTAAGTGCTGCCATTAGAATGCTCTGGGCTCAACCCCCAGGTCCCAGGGAGCAGCAGATACAAGAAAAGTGACTGGCTTCCTGCATTCTCTTTGGAAATGAGAAGGCTGGAGGCTGGGATGGGTCAAAAATAAGCAATTAATAACAGAAGGACCTTGCTTTAAAAACCAACACCAGAGAATGGGGGTGTAGCACAGTGGTAGATCACTGCCTAGCAAATGGGAGGCCTTGGGTTTGATCCCTAGCAGTGAAAAAAAAAACAAAAACAAACAAAAAAAAACCCACTGAATGTTCTTCAGGACCCACAAATTAGATTAAGAATTCAGCTTATAAAATGCGAATTTTCCATGAAAGGAGTAAGTTCACTAACCTCAGTATGAATTAGAGTAATCAGAGCAGTCACAGCTACTTCCCATTGGTAGGACATGAAGCCCCTGGGAAGTGGGAAAGAATGGGATCATTGATGGCCCCACAGCAGGAGCCACATGATGCTTCATAGCCTTCTCAAAAAACACTTCCTGTATCCTAAGAGAGAGATGTCAGTCACCTGTTCTAGATATTTATTAAAACATCAAAGCTCATGGAAGTTAAATAACTTGTCCAGGAAAACAAAGTTAATAAGTGGCAGGCCTGGGACCCTGATGTGGCTGTAAGTTCATGTTGGCTCCACCATGTCACCTGATTTACACCTTGGCAGGCCAGGAACTTGGTCCAGAAAGCAATAGGAAATAAAAAGCAACAGGGTGTCCATCCATCATCTATCACAAGATCTGGAGTTTCAAAATTGGATAGAAGATAATGAATATGTAAGACCTAGTGCCTTTCTTACAGTTTTGTCCTGGAGTCTGGACAAAAGCTAGTATTCCTTCATCAAAAGCTGAGTCACTAGGACAGGTAAATTTAGAAGTCTGAAAACCTCAGGGTACCCCAGTTCCACTTTGACCATTTCTTCTGCTCGCTGTTTTCCATTTGATGCATGCTTCTCTTGCATGCACAGCCCAGTTGGGAGATGAACAGGACAAATGGGATGAAGAGCCAGATGCTCACACTCCATTGCAAAGGGGTCACTGATGCAAGCTTGCATCAGTGACATAGCACAGGAGACTCCTCTGCTCCTCTTACCTTGAGATGCTGGAGATGACTGACTTTTAAACTTCCTGCTGCTGATGGTACTCATCAGATTGTCAATGTTTTTTCTGTTGCTCTAATAACCTCAACTCTGTATTTGTGTCTTCTCCTCCACCAGCCAAGTATGTCCTGGGTATCTCCCAGATGCTTAGGTGCATACTATTGCCCCAAAGAAGACAACATAGCTGTCTGCAGGGGATAGAGCTAAGAGACAAAGTAGCATCTGGAATTAGTGACAACATGCCAGCTATAGGCCTGGGCCCTCCAAACATGTTGCCTCTGCTCACCACAGCCAGGGGAATAGAACTCTGCTCCCACCTCATCCAAGCACAGAAGCCCATAGATGCCCTTCCAGTGCATGTAGCAACCTTATCTATAGGAGGCTGGTAGTGTTCTTGGAAGGGAAAATGTGCACATATGGCACCATCAGGAAGCAGTTAAAGCTTAAGCCAAGTCACTGTCATCGACACAACAGAATTGTAGCCCAACATTTTGGTCTGACTCAGGTGGGACTTGGCCCTGAACTGGACAGCTGGGAAAGCTACTGTCTAGGAGGCACATATCTTGCTGTTAGCAAAAAAGCACATAGGGCAGAGATTTCATCTATGCCTGTTCCAAGGCTGTATATATCCCAGGAGAGACTTGGACTTGATGGAAAATACTTAGATGTGCATTTACTACCTTAACCCTCCCTTCAGAAAGGCAACAGTTTACTGAGTTTGTTGACTTCCTAAAGTTTCACACATGTTTTTAGGAACAAAATATAGAGGCTGGAAAAGAAAGAGAATGTCCCTGTTTTGGCATGTGCAAATGCCCTATTAAACTTAAGGAATTGGCCCCAACTATAGTTCCTCTTCAGCAAGGTTTCTAGAATGACAGCACAGGTCTCCCATATCCTGCTTATTCAGATGAGAGGGCTTTATATCCATGCATGTGCACGCACACACACACACACACACACACACACACACACCCTGCCAGAAGTAAACCCACAGTGATGGGCATCTTTTCCCACTCTGAAGCAGGGGTTTGGAGACAATGAACTCAGGGTTCCTGGGCCTTCCTAATGGGAAGGAGCCCTGAATTCATTGTCTCCAAACCCTGCTTTACATTAAGCCCATATAGGTTGTGACACACTTGCCAAGGTCACATGACCACATGGTGTCTAGAACTAAAACTCAGGAGTCCTGGTTCCTGTGACTCCCTATCCCATCTTTCTCCTGTTTTTTGTTAACCTAAAAACCAGATCTATTTTAGGCCATCAAGACCCTGGTCCCAGCAGTGGGCCATGTTCTTTATGGCTACATAACAGGGTTTCATGGTGACATGCCCTCCTCTCTCTCTCTATGCTTCCACCATCACAGCTCCACAGGCTCTGCTGGAGCTTACGAAAGAGCCAAGATGAGCGGGTAGACCTGGACCAGGACAGAACGTGGAAGAGACTCCCCAGATTCCCAGCCACACCAAGTGAGAAGGGAGATTCAGCCCTGGGGAGTGACCCCGTGAGGCATGCTCTTGGGTGGTTGGTGGCCTGTGCAGATGGCCCAGAACTTCTCTGCCCCATTATTCTCACACTCAGAAATATTTTAAGGCAAAACCTTGGGATTTCATTTTCTTTAAGATGCCTCCTGGGGGTGATTTGGGCATTTCAAAGCTGTGAGGCCATGGTGAGCAGGCTGAAGTCCAGGAGAGATGCGGGAGAGGGCAGCAGAGGCACTGAGTGAGTTGCTGCTGGAGGTGGAGGGAAGAGATAGAGAATTCAGGCTTGAATTGGGGGGTACCCAGGTGATGAGGAGAAGCCAGCAAGGGTATGTAAAGTCAGGAGTGTTCAATGTTCTGGCAGCATTTCAAAGGGCAGGGTATCCACTGAGGCAAACAAGGATGGATGAAAACTTGGCCTAAGAACTTTAACCACATACAGACCATGTTATGCCTCCAGCACAACAATCTGGTGGCATGTAGGGGAGCAGACTGCAGTGTAGGAGTTCAAAACCAGAGGCTCCTTGAAAGCATGTAGGAGATGGCCCACTTCAGCGGGGCTACAGGGGCAGGTAAAGAGGGTACCCTAGAAGCAGATCTGCAAGACAAATAGGTTGCGTCCAAGTAAGAAAGGAGAATGTCCCTGGAGCCTCCAGAGGGTCAGAGAAAGGGTTTTAACAAATAGGGTCAGAAAAGAAAGGTTCTAGGACATAGGAGGTAGGATGACCTGAGCTTCTTGCAACCCCTGATGCAATCAGGGATAAAGGACATAATGAGATTAGTCCTGAGTCTGAGGCACAGAGTAGTGAAGAAGCTATGAGTTTGGGGGAGGGAGGGGGCGGGCCTGGTTGTAGAGAAGACAGGGTTTTCCCCTTTCTACTCTTTCCAGGTGAGTTCAGAGCCCAGAGAGGGCCTGAGGTTTTTCCATACCTGCAGGAGACGGGCATCTGCCTGGGAAGGGTCCTGTGGACTTCTGTGTGGAATGATGAATAGCCTTTCCTGGGCACAAACCCTTGCTTCTGCTTCTCCTCTACCAAGATGTAAATTGGCCCAAGTGCCTATAATGTGCCAGGTGCTGCCAAAATTACATGTGATGTGGATAGTTACTATCCCCATTTTAGAGCTGGGGAAACTAAGTTATTTAGCAATCAGGTAACTTGTGCCTGTCCCATAGATAACCAGTCATTGGTTGAGCTGGGATTTGAACACTGGAAGTCTCATTCTAACGTCTGAGCTCTCAGCCTGGAACCAGTTAACTGTCTGTCATACAGCCTTGGCTGTTTTGGGTGACAGCTATACAACTGGACTGATGGGTCATCCAAGCCTCAGCTACAAGGACAGGAGCTTAGGAGACACTAGCTTGGAGGCTTTCCAATGAGATGAGACAGAAAACATCAGAGTTCACACTGCTGGAAGTGCACTGAGAATGAAACAGGGTTGTCTTGCCATCCGTGATCTATTCATTCCCAGGAGTGGCTCAGAGGTCACTTCCAGGCAGTGCTGGGCCCAAACTAGTGTGCTGGCGCTGACCGTGGTGCTGACCCAAACGTGCACAGGCCCCAAGGGGCAGGCCAGCATCAGCGGCCCAGACACTGGAGTAATACTCAAGCTCCACACATAGGAGTTCCCATTAGTTTAGCCTAGAAAAATGTATGGCAGCTTTCCTGTAATTCCTAAACTTCCCACACACACACACACACACACACACACACACACACACACAACACTAGAACTTCAAGCGTCCTATGGAGCCAAGCATGGAGATGGACAACTGCTTGGAAAAGACACTCAGAAATTGCCAAAGAGAGCAAAATCTATTTCCAGGACTTGTGGGACTTCCTCCTCCCTCTAGGAAGTAGTACTTAGTGGGAGGGCATTTGAATGAGCAGCAACTGCTGCTCTAGACCTACAGAAACAGGAAAGGACATTGTTGCAGCATAATGTGGGGTACATGAGGAGGCAGAGCTCCCATGCCACTCAGGTATGCAAACAAGGGGATCTGGGCACAGTTGAGAGCTCTGCAGCCACACTCCACCCCTACAACATATCCCAGGTCCCTCATCCTACCCTCTATTTTAATCCATGTCTCCAAATATGACTGTAGGCATTCTATGTCCAGGCTCAAGGCTTTTTTCATACTATAAGTGAATCTGTTGGACTTCACACTAAAGAAGTTCTGAGAAATGAGTTTCTACAAGCATCTCCCTCTTGTATCATGATCTACATGCCTTCTTACCTTTGCCCATTCCCTCTGTTCTAGCTATGTTCCGGCATTCCCAAAGCTACTTCTGGGAGGCCCTCCAACTCTATTTTGGCCTGGAGCCACAGCTGAAATCCACGGTGACCCCTAAAAAGGCCTCCAAAGAGATAAATGCAACTGAGGAGAAGGTGGAGGCAACTAGGAAGAGGAAATATAGTGACGCTTTGGAAGGTGAGGAAGACGTGGAGCAACATGACATATCAGAAGATTCAGTCGTCCTGGATCAAGGAGAGCTATCTGGGAAGAGAAAGGCAACCAAGGAGAAGGTGGAACATACAAAGAGGGGTGGTATGTTGGAAAATTCCTCCATGAAGAGGGTGATCAGTGCCAGTGGGACCATCCTGATCACACTCGTGGTGCTCGGCCACGTCTATTTTGCCTGAATCAGCTCAAGTCTGGGCTGTCTGGAGGGCACCAAGGCTACTGCCTTTCCCAGACTTTCAATCAAGAAAGACATGAAGTGTTTCCTCCCCAAGAATATGGGGTCAACATTTAAGCCATCGAAAACGCTCTCTCAGTGTCATGTATCAAATGCGACCAGCCACAGGGGAATGGATTTTGTGGAATGCTTGTTCTGACTTTTGTTCCTTCTTCTATTTATATACATTAATTTTCATAAAGCTAATCTTATATTCCTGAGACATTTAAATCCCAGTTGGCTTTGGTATATAATGCTTTGGATTTGCTTTTCTCATCTTTTTTTGAGTTTTTTCATTATAAAGAAAATTGGTCTGTAGTTTTATTGTGATTTCTTTGATACAAGAATCAGAGTAGTATTAGCCTTGAGAATGACTGGTATTCTTGCCTGGAGACATGTAAGGGTAGATGTAGAAGAGAGACTGGGACTAGAGTCCCAGATTTGGAGGACAGAGCAGGGGGCAGGCCCAAGTAGGAAGATGACCCAAGTAGGAAGGTGGTAAGTGAGGCCCACAGCCAGGCAGATAAGACTGCAGGCACAATGAGAAAAGCAAGGCCCTAAAACAGAGAAACATCAGCACCATTGGTCACGTAGCAAAAGAGGATTTCACAGCCAAAACCAAGAACCTAGGGTCTTGGTGGCAGGGATGTCTGACCTTGGCTGAAGCCTGTGGCAGGAGTAGAGCCAACCTGCTATAGGCTAAGACAGGACTGGGCTGTGTATGGAGCCCCTGAAGTACCTGCTTTCCTGAAGGAGAAAATTCCATCTGTGCCCAGCATCCAATCCCTTCCAGGTAAGGGGCCTGCTTGGGACACTGTCTTAGTTACTTTTCTCCTGTTGCTGAGACAAAATACTCAACACCCAAAGTTAAGAGGGGAAAGGTTTATTTGGATCACAGTTTTTAGAGGTTTCAGTACATAATCAGGTGGCTATAAGGCAGGGTAGCCCATGTAGAGGGGCAACATGGCAGTATCTGGCAGCAACAGTATCAACAGCAATCCCAGCCTACTGGGATTAGGGTGTACTAATCTAATCAGTGGACTAACCTAGCACCCTTAATCCTAGCACCCTGAATCCCAGCATTGTGCTATGAATCAATCACATGTTCTAAATTCAGCCACCTCTGACAAAAAAAAAAAAACACTATGACCACATAAGGCTTGGAGGGGGGGGACATTTAGACACAAACCATAAAAGACACACTTTTCCATGTTTCTTCTGAGAAAGCTGAGAGTCCCTGAGGCTCGCTGAAAGGACTATAGTAAGAGGCTCACTTGGGACACTGATTTTGCTAATATTTATTCTAAGAACTCTTCCCAGAATCAGCTCCCCATCTTCTGCCTGGTTGGTAAAGAGGGAGCCTCAAAAAGTCCCTTATGGAAAGGTAAAGGCTCCAGCTCAGCCCCCAAAGTAAGGGCCCAACTTGGAAGCTGAACTCTGCCATCCTAGTTCCTCTAGAAGAGGTCAGGACCACTGCTTCTCCCCCAAAACTAGAGAAACTTTCACTTGGTCAGATCAGGAAGGGATAGCTTGGAGATAAAGTGGCTCTCCCAACCACTCCCCCACCCTGATTCCCATGCCTCAGTCTCTCCATGGAGGTAAAATCACAGGTAGAGGCACAGGTGGGAAGCAAGCTCATGAATGGGCTACTCTGAAGCTCACAGAGCCGAGGAGAGAGGAGATGGCACAGTGGGCTTTCGGATGGCCCAAGAGGGACACACTTCGTAATATCCCTGGTTTGAAGAGGAATGCAGCTGTGTAAAGGGAAGACCTTAACAGAGAAATTGAACCTATGACTTTATAAGTATTCAGCTGGAAAGGATTCTCTTATGACCGACTCACCCTCTGTGGGAAGAGTCCATAACAGGCCATATCTTTCATCTTCCTTCCTGTCTCCCAGAGTAGGAAGACAAGAGACATGACTGAACGGGGCATTTATGGGAATGCTCAGCAGGGTCATCCCCAGCTGCACCCCACAGGCTGATGACTCAAGCTTCCCAAGCTGTTGCCTAGCCCAGCTATGTTCCAGTTTCCAACCATCTCCCTGCCACAATCCTTGTCCCTGGAGGGCTCAGCCCTGTGCTGCCTGGGACCTGGTCCTTCTGGTGATGGGGTTTTCCCTTTGACAGGAGAGAAAGATGTAATCATGCTCCAAGAACAGAAAGAACATTGGGACCCAACATAAAGAAATTCAGCCTATTTATTCAGGTATAGAGGTGAATTATCAGGTTTTGCCTGCTAAGGGGCTCAGGGTTTCCACTCAATTACTTTGATGGCAATCTGGGCTGCCCGCCTGACAGTCACGTTGTTATCTAACTCTAGAACACGGAAGGTACCCACTTGGGTCTGCAGGCGCTTGCGGCCCTCAGGGGCCTCAGCCAGCATTGTGAGGGCCTTGGTAGCATTCAGGCGTACCTTGGTCACAGGTGAATGCAGCAGCATCAGGAGAGGCTCAATGGCATCTGCATCCAGGGCCGTATATTTCCCTGCAGGTCACCAACAGCAGACGTCTTAGCCAGCCAATTTGAGGGAGTCTCCCTCCTGTTCCCCTCCTGCCTGTGTGGTCTCAAAGGAGACCATGAACCCACTCTTCTCTCACTCAATCTCTCTTGTACTCTTCCACTGAAACCAGCCTAGGGAGTAGGCCCGGCCCATAACCCCCTACCCTCCCAGCCCCCTAACTGGCTTCATTACATGCCTCTAGTTCCTGACCTGCAATTAGTCCTCACAAAGCAGCACAAACGGGCCTTTTAAAAATGGAAAGCCAATTATTGTGTAGCAAACATTCCTTGAGCAACTATTTTGCACCTGGCACAAAAACACACAGAGTGGGGCTAGAGGTCTAGCTCAGCTCTCAGAGCATTTGCCTAGTCTATGTGAGACTTTAGGTTCAATTCTCAGCACAGCAAAAACAACAGCAACAAAACCAACCACATTGCTCTTACCCTCGTGGCACTAACAGACATTTACTGTGTATGAGACGCTCTCCTTGGCTTTTTGCCACCAAGTGCTGCTATTAGTGAACACTGACTGTCCTTTGCTGTGAAGGTCTCCCCACTCTAGCTTCCTAATTAGCCTATGCTTTGGGTCAATCCACAAGTCCTTCCCAGGGTAGACTTGACCCCATCGTGTGTCCCCCCAAATGCTGCACTTCTCCATGTCACTCTTCATTCTACCTCTCCTGCCACTGCATTCCCACTGTGCAGCCCAAGGCTTGGCCTGTGCCAGGGGCCCAGAGATCCTCAGCTGGAGTACCTGCTGGATGTAAGTGGCTTCACATCCCTCGTTTCTGGGCTCTGTGTCTCTGGCTATTAACTGATTCTCCACAAGCTCCCTGGCCTTGCAAGTGTTCCCACTGGAAGTCTGAGCTAAGACACCCCCAGGTGAATATACAGGGGACACCTCTACTTCCATCCTGCTGTCAGCATCCTGACTACACAGTGGGAAGATGAGCTGTAGACCCTGAGAAGACCTCAACCTCTGTTCTCCTCTGACTATGTAAAGTTCTACCATTCTGGTCCAGTATGGAGTTTCTGAGAGAATTTGTCTTGGAGCAGTAGGGCATGGTGTTGGGGGACTGTTATGGCATACTGATTGTGAATCCAAGGTACAGACAGTTCTCCATGGAACAAACTAGAAGTACATACCACAGGATTCTATATACACCACAGCTGAGTATAGGCCTTTGACAAAGGTCGGACAACTTTCAGAAGGTCTAAGAGTCAGAAGAGCACACCATACCCAAGATGGCCAGGTGTAGAGACTAGCCAAGGTCTGTTCCCCCAGCCCAGGATTGGGTGACAACATGAAAGCCTGACTCACTGGGAGTCCAAAGCTGGGGGCCTGAGGAAAGAAAATTTTATAGTCTTATTGTCCCACTCCCCAATGTGAGAAAAATAAGTATGATCAAGAAACATAAGTCAAGGGCAGGGTTTGCCTAGACCTCAGGATAACAGAGTCATGGATTACAAATTAATCAATCTCAGAATCACTTCATAGCTCACAGAGGGAATGGGTAAGAGGTGAGAATCCCAGGCACAGGGAACAGCTTGCTGTGAATACAAATGACCAATGAGAGGCCACAAGTAGCCTGTGCCCAGGAAGAAGAGAGAGGGCTGAGCTTTGAACCAAACCTCAAAACCTCGGACTTCCATGACAGGCTGAGAAGAAGATTTTGATGGAGCTTGGATGATTTGAGGTGAAGGGTTAACACTAAAACCCCTAAGCAGAAGAAGCTTTGGAAAGCTCACCACAACAGCTGGAATGCTAGGAGACTATTTTCCCCTCCTGCTTGGAATCATCCAGCTGCAGGCATCCCAGGGTGGCCACCTTCAGCTTACCTTCAGTGGTCACTGCAGCATTCATCAGGGCTCCAGCAGCATTGGCCTGAACTTCTGGTTCTTGGTCTTTCAGAAGATGCACCAGGATGGGGATGACATCATGCTGCTTTACCTGGTTCTTGCCCTCCAAAGGGATGCTGAGGCAGAAAGGGGACAATTGAGGCCTCCATTAAGGGGGAAGGAAAAAGTAAGCCCCAATACCTGAGGAGGACACAAAAGGAAAGGATTTATTTTGAAACTACCCTTGGTGGCCCAGGACTGACCATGGCTGGGATAGGCACCAAGGTACGTTTGTATGCTGCCCCTGAACGTGAGACCACGAGTCCAGGGTACAATGGAGCTTTTCCCTAAACCATCACTCAAAAAGAAATGAGACATATCTTCCCTGGCCCTAAAGACCTGAAAGATGATTGGCCAGAAGTCCTCTACTGGCCTGAGTCGGACCACACATAGAGAAATAGAGGCCTAGGCCTCTAGGGAGAAGCCCAAATGGAAGAAAATCCAGGAGTTGTGGAAGCAAAGAGGCCCCAAGTAAGATGATGTAGCCATAGCCAAAACAATAGCTATGGGGAGGGGTATGGTGAGTGAGACACTCAGCCTCGGAGACAAGGGAACCAGGGTCAGAAAACTATGCTTCCTTAGCTCCTAAGCCATATCTTACATGACTCTGAGCAAGTGATTTTCTTCCCCTGTAAAGCGAGACATGTCCTCCCCTAAAGAGTTGTCTATGTATGTAATTTACAGACAATGCCTGAACATTGTGAGTACTTAGAGACTCCTGGCTATCATCATAATCACTGGTATTCTCCTGCCTTCCTTCCTCATAGAGAAAAGTGACCCGTCAGTTGGTTCTTTGCCCAGGATGAAAAGTAAGAAAGAATTTCCTGGGAATCAGGATGCCCTCAAGCCAGTGGGAAAGTGGTCACCCTAACAGAGAAGGTCCATTTGAATCCTAGCACCTTTCTTCCCTGGGGCACATCAAGATGGGAAAGGGAGCCCAGAGTAGTTGCCCTTAGACTCTGGTGCAGGCCTGGCTGAGATTAAAGCCCAATTGTCTTATCTTGGCTTCTGCAGAAGCTCAAGAGGACAGCCACTCAGTGCAGCATAGACTGGGCCTCACCTGATGGCAGTGAGCACCCGAGCAGCCTTGCTGCGGATGTTCGCATTATCACTAAGGAGCTTCTGCTTGAGGAAGGGCACAGCTCGGCTGGCCAGTGCTTCAGTGGCATCTTCCTGCAGGCAGGGAGCCAGTGTGTCCAGGATGAGTTCCTGGATGTCCTCTTCCTCCCTTGGCAGCTTCCACACCAGTGAAGGAATCAGGCCACTGTTGATGATTCCCCGAGCCCCTGCAGCATAGAAAGGGTACTGGGGATGGAAGGAAGCAGCCACTCCCCTCCATGCTGATGGCCTAGATGGGTAGGGTGGTGGTAGACAGGAGAACTTGGCAAGGGCCCTGAGCAGCCATCAGAGATGGTGGGTACAGTCATATCAGGAGCTGGGCTAGAGCAGAGAGTTAAGGCCCAAAACATGCCAGCCTTTTGTCACTGTACTTAGAAGCATCAGCCGTAAACAGGCAGCCAGGAGCCTGAGAGACAGAAGTCACCCTTAGGAGAGCCTGGCAGCTCACTCCCACAGCCCCAGGCACACTAGGAGAACTTTCTTCTCCCTTGCTTTGCCCAGAATGGTAAGGAGCCATCGAAGAGGCCCTCCCACGCAAAACATGTCCAAATCCACTGGAGCCCCAAAACTGGTTCAGCTGGCCCCTGAGAAGAGCAAGAAATGGAGGGGGAGGTAGAGACCTAGGGTAGAGGTAGAAGACTTAGGTTGGTGTCATCTATCCCAAAAAGAGTGGTGTCCTGAACCAAAAGTGACAGGAATCCACACGACTTAAAGGGACCTGGGGCCTCAGAAGAAGGAGAGTTCCTCTTGCCGTAACTGTAGCACAGGTACTAGGAAAAGCACAATGAGACAAGGCTTTGCCATAAATGAGCACATCTTGTACCCTCCCCTTCTTCTGGGGAATGTCTGATTGTGACTAGCAGGGGTGTGAACCCAGATCCCCAGCACAGGCAGCATCTGCAGAGACCAGGATCGCAGAGCAGGCCTCCTTTGTCACGGAGATGAGGATGAACAAAGCACAGCCCTTCCCCGTCATGTGCAGGCCACTCATCACTACTGTGACCAGCCCCCCCTTTGGCCTCTCTGGCAGCCCACATTGCCTACTGTGAACCATCTACAGCCCCCGGGGAGGCGGCCACCAGCAAATACCTCTCTCCTACCCTCCCCAGCTAAATCCTCTAATTTACTCCAGAGAGATAAATAAACAGGTTAATTAGCCTAAAGGTCTCTGAGTGCCAATTAACACTAGGGATTCCCTCTTTGAAGACATCACCCTAGCCTCCCTTCCTTACTCCCTGAGGACATCAAATGGCAGGTACCTGGGGTGTAGAGGTGGCAGGCAGGACAGGGTATTCAGTGACTCTTATTTTCCTTTTCCCATGTTCCTTTATGTGTAGTAGCTTCCAGAATTCCTGGTCTGCTTCTCACATGGTGTGTTTAGATGGAGTAGCTAGCTTTACCCTATTGCTTTTTGGAGCATTCAAGATACAGGAAAGCAATTTCCTGTTGGTACAACTGGTTTGGGCTTTGCTTTTTAAAATTTAATAGCCACAGACTTCCAAAGCATTCTAGGTTTAACTCCTAGAAATGTATCCTTTTCCAGCTGTGTATCCTTGGACACATGGAACCTCTCTAATCCTGGTTTGCTCAGGGCTGAAATGAGTCTAGCTGGTGGACTGTTGCACAATACCAATGAAAGCTGAGAATCAGCTGACTGGGGCTTGATCATGGCCTCACTTGCACGTGGATCTAAACTTCCCAGAAAATTCCAGGGATGCACATGCTGCTATTGAAGCTCCTAGGAGCCACTGTCAAAAATGGGAGGGACACAGGCAGAGAAAAGGAGCTCGAGAGAGGAAATTACAGTCAGAAAAATCAGAATGCTAGAGGTGACCACCTCCATCACTCTGCTCATCCTTGGTAAGGAAACTGAGACCCAGAGAGGAAGCTTGGACCCCCAAGGTCACACATTAGATATAGGCAAACCCAGGCCTTCGGTTCCTTGAGTTCTGTTTCTCAGGCATCTGCTTGGGCTCCTGCTTGTAGAAATACTCATCACTGGGCCCTGGGTTCATTTTGAGACAGAGGGAGATTAAAAATAAAACGCGTGCCGGGTGTGCCTTTCTGCTCGTTCACTTTGCTTTTCAGCTAAAAGGAAAGTGGCGGGCCTGGCTATTTATATCTAACCCAGATTCACATGGTTTGTTCAAATAGGGGCCGGGCACACAGACCCCAAGGAAGCAAACCAGGGAAGCTCAGTGGCCAGAGCCTGAGGATCAGTGCAGGGAGGGCAATACAGATAGGGCACAGAGAGGAGCCAGACAGGGTAGCATCCATACAGAACAGGCCTTTAGCAGTCAGCAGCCCAGATATGAATGAGATCGCCCCACTGCACAATGGGAGGTAGGAGGACTAGTGGGAGAGTCAGCTGGGCACAGGTCACTATGGAACAGGTTGCCACATGGGTAGAGAAGGAATTTCAGGGTCCTGGATGCTCTGGAAGTATAGGAAGACAGACTAGGGATACTAGGCTTCACAGAGGCAGAAGAAAGTGTAAGTGGGCAGAGAGGTAGAGGGAGCAGCGTGTGTGTTTGGGGGAGAGGGACCTCCAAAATGGCCTCACTGTTGTTTAAGCCAGGATGGGCTTAGTGGTTGAGTCAGAAAGTTCCACCAGGATTGAAGTTAATGGATGCCCTAGGCATGGAGCCACCTGCAACTGAGGCTTGCTCCTTTCCTGGGAGAGAGGTTGACACCATCTCACCCTGTCTCTGCTGAGTTGTAGAAAAATACCTGATGGCTTCGTCATCGGGTCCCTAACTGTTGTCTCTAGTCCTATTCTTCTGGCCAGTGAGTACTCAAGATGCAGTGCCGGCCCCAGGTTCTAGTCCCAGTTCTACCCTTTCCTGTCCTGGAATAGGGACCATGTATCCCCTCATCTGGCAACCTGGGTCCACCTCCTAGTGACTCACCTATCAAGCTTTAGCCTTGTCTGGCACCATGCCCTGGACTCCAGACACTGCCACCCACGTATGCTTATTTTTGCTTGTGGGTGTGCTTCTGTGTCCTCAGCTCTCTTGGCCTCCCAGTAACACATACACAGCTAACTGCTTCTTTTTCTTCCTCAAGACATTCTTCTGGCAGCTTTAGGCCATTGTTCCCATATCTTCACCTGCTCCTCCATCTTAGCAAATGCTATCGCGTCTATCGCGTCTCCCTCACTAAGAATCCCTCCTTTTCCCCTACCTTTTTTCTGACTCGTCCCTCCCCCTCAAAGAACAGAGCATCCTGCTAACTGTCCCAACACTGTCACCTAATGCCCAGTGATCTCACAGGTGCAGTGGCCCTATGCTTAACTAGGCCTCTAGGATTGACTTACTTTTTAAAAAATGTTTTTCTGGGTTGACTAGTTGATACTTTTGCTATTTGACTATGTCCCATAGCACAACTCACATTGTTTGTAGGAACCATACGTATTATAAAAAATCGTGAAACAAAAACTTGTCTATCTTCTCATTTAAATGGCTAGTGTTACAATTCATCAATGGTTCTTAGGTCAACATCGCTAATCTTACTGGAAGACCCACCGGCCACATGTGACTATACTCACGCTGGAATTGTCCCAGTTTTCCCCTGGCCTCCAGCTCCTTCATGTCTAGTGTCACCCCACCTTAAATCTCCCTTCTCTCCAAAACCTCATCGCTAGCCAAGTCTCAGACCAAGCTATAGCCTCAGCCCAAGCATCTCTTCATTCAGGAAGTTAGCCCAGTACTCAATTCTCCCCCTGCCATAGGTGCCAAGAGCCCCAGGAGGTCACCTTAAACACCCTCAAGTGATACAATATCTGATTATTGTTCTGCTTTTAGCACAAAGGTCTAACAGGAAGGGGCCAAGTTTGAATCCTAAAACTATGCCTTACAGCTATGCCCTGTATGAAAGAGGCCATCAGTAAATTATTGCTGTATGAATACATACAATCATTAGTTTGGCACCAGGTGAGCTATCCCTTTCACTTTGAAGTGATCACCAGGGTCAGGTCAGGGAGGCAGCAGTCAACCCCAGTGGACCTCTCTAAGGGTTAACCGCTGTTCTTATGACTGGAATGTTGTAGAGTGTGATCTTATTCTTGCTTCTTCCTGCCCTGGAGTAGGTTACTGTGTGTCCTCATCTGGCAACGTGGGCCAGATGCATCTAGGTTTGCCCCTTTAGAAGCTGTCCACTAACCCCAATCCTACAGTAGAAACTGCCTCTGCCCACCTCTGATCATGTGCTAGTGCACATTTCCCACATATGTTAACCCTTAAAATTACTCTAAAAGAGACATTTTGACACATGAGGAGAATGAGGCTGAGCCAGGTTTCACAGCTGCTGACCGCTATGCAGTACTATGGGGCAGGGGCCTGGCCTGACACAACTTTGTAGTGTAGCAGTCATGCACACATAGTAGCCCTTCAACTACTGACCAAATTACATAAGTGCCACTTCCAATGAGCAGTATGCCACAGGTAGGTTGGCCCCAGTAATGTCCATAATGGGTATCTGTCCTGTCCCTAAAAGTTTAGGCAGTACCTTCATAAGTGAGCTGTGACCCTAGGACACGTCGTGCAATAGTTTTCATTTCACAGTAGAGGAAACATCCCAGGGAAATTATGTGATGATTTCTTGGGGCCAGTGGGACCAACCTGGCAGAGCCCAACCTTTGCTACTGCCTTCCAATCACAGACTTTGGCTGGAGTGAAAACCCATCAACTTCTGACACAGACCAGTTCCAAAACTTCTGTTCAATGAATGGGGTGATTCAGGTAATCTGACTATAAAAGTATAAAGTAACAAGTAAGGTGTTCGCTGGAACAGCACCTGCATTTTACCAGAGATGTTTTAAAATGCACAGCTTCGATTTACAAGAATTAAAAACAAAAAGACAACAGCATTAATGTACTGATGTTCTGGCCCCAGTCTTTTAAGCACTTAAGTGAAGTACTCCTGGCACTGAGGCCCACAGATGGGGCCCCCTTGAAACTGAAATTTGGCAGCTTGCACACGGTGCATTTTGCCGAGGGTCCAAAGATGGCCAATGAGGGGCTGGCCTTCACTGAGCTGGCTTCCTCCTGCTTCTCTGGGCTGAGGGCCAGCTCCTAGGTCCTTCTTCCTTCCAAGGCAACCTTTCCGTGAGTCAGGATTGCCAAGGATCTTGAAAACACTCTGAGAATGAATGCAGCAGAGATGAATA